GTTGTTGAGACATTTTAATTTCGTAGAATTTAGAGATTTATTAATTTAAAGAAATCAAAGAAAATGTTGATTATGTATAATTATTAGAAGATATTTATTTATTATCAATTTAGAAATATGGAAAATTTGATTAATATTATTATTTATTGAATGTTAGAGTTTAAAACACTAATTCTGAGTTTAAAATGTATATTCTTTTATTTCTATTATTAAATGTTACATCTAATAAACAAGAAATTTTGGAATGCCTGGGAATTTTGGAGTGCCAATTTTTATATTTAGTAGTGTTTTAACAAACAATAAGAATGTTTTTATTATTATTTATTATTTATTATTATCATTTATTATTTTTTTTTAGTTCTTAAAAATTTTTTCGCATTTTTTGAATAAAATATTATCAACTTATTTTTATCAATTCATTTATTAACTATGTAGCAATTTTTATAATAAATATTTTTAACATTAATATTATTGGTTTGGTTGCTGTTAGAAAGATCACTATTTATTGTTTGAGTGTTGTTATTGATAGCATCATTGACGATTTCTCTTAAGGGTGAGTGAAATGGTTTATTTTTATATGGTCGAGTAACATGTGTAAATTTCTAAAATAATATAATATAATTAATACAATAAAATAGAAATCTGTATACTTCTGTGCATATTATCATATACTTACACCTAATGATTTAACACCACTGCCTTTATCACTCATGTCATCTGGCTCCTGTTTGAAAAAATGGAAATAATATTATTTTGAATGAATGAAATATATATATATATTTACATCAGAATTATCCTCATCTTTGATATCTTCAGGCTCTTCATCATCAAAAGAATCAATAAATTTAACATGTTTCTAAAGAAAATGCAAAATATAAAAAATAAAATATATATGTAAATATTAATTTTTAGAAGATTTAAAATGACTTACGTCTGAACCTGTATTTTTTTGAGGTGTTTTATTCAAAGTTGATGATTCTTGCAGTGTTAATGCCATTTGAAGAACATTGCTTATTTTACTAGCTTTTTGATATATAGTGGGTGCAATATATGATCTCATGCCCTTGAGACTTTTATGACCAGAGATTGTCATCACTTGTGTGTCATCAACACCACTTTGATATAACCAATTTAGACTAGTAGCATGACCAGAATGGTTGACTATTTTTCTTCCATTTAGATTTATACCAGCATCAAAACATATTGTCTTCATGTAATTCTTGATTTTCTCAGTTCCAATTTTATGATCAAGATACCATACATCATCATTGATTGCTAAAATCATAAAATTTATTAGATGCACTAGTTTTGAAAAACTAACCACCATGAAAAATGAAATATAAATAAAAAAACTAGCCTGAATTGGATGAATTAACTTGTAAATAAAACTCTTTTGTAATACATGGTGTTGGTCATTTATTCAAATAAGATATAATGTCATCATAAGCTCCTTGATGTTCTTTATCACATGGACATGGGATATTTAGTGATTCATTATTACCATCAAGACCACCTTGATCATTTTTTTGATGAAATTTGGTGAAAACAACCATATCATCACGTATATCAAAACTGACATTTTAACATTTTTGTATGTTCACCACCACAAGGACAAAATACTAAACAGACCCATATAAACACTCTCCTAGAAAGACCTTTGGGTGTATCTTTTGATGTTGATTCAGAATTTGTTTGATTTCATCTGGTGAAAGTGTGTCAGCCTTCTTTGTAGAAATCTTACCCTGTTTCTTAAGATCATGTAGCTTTCCATTTAAAGTTTTATATAAGTCTGGATAATTTTGCTTGCATGTGTTTCCATTTAAGGTAATTTGATCTTTAATTACACTGTGACTTTCAAATGTCTATCAATTGCAGCCATACAATTTTTTAATGACAAATATTCTTCACCATCATCTCTTCACACACCAACAACAAATTCGCATAATTGTTTTTCTAATATTTTTTTGTCATTAACCGATTCAATTGGAATTCCATTATGATGTTTTTCTCTATAGCTAGTTAAAACCTTAACCCGAAATTCAGTATTTTTTTTCGTAGTTAATGGTATACCAGCTTCTTGAATGTCTTTTATTTGTTGATCGGTTGGAAGAAATGACATGTCAAAGTTGGGTGGTATTTGTTTCTATGGTACAACAGGCAAGAATTTTAGTTTTACAATTTGACAATACAACAAATATTTATTTACTTACTTGTGTTGCTTTTGGCATTTTTATGATTGGAACAATAAAATTTAGGATTTGAAAAATTATTTAATAATGATAAAAAAGAATGTGCATTTTAAGCTCTGAATAAGCGTTTACTCCAACATACAATAACTTTAATTTAGTGATGTGTGTTTAATTATTCGTGTAAAATCATTATTTAGAAATATGAAAAATTTGATTAATATTATTATTTAGTAATGTGTATTTAATTATTTGTGTAAAATCATTATTTAGAAATATGGAAAATTTGATTAATATTATTATTTAGTAATAGTAATGTGAGAATTATTCATATTATTATTAGCAATGAATTAATCTTAACATAGTGTTTTTTTTTATAAAATCTATATCACGTGAATCCGTTGTAACGCGATTAGTACTTGTTACTAAAATCCTACCAAAAAA